ATATAAGAACCAGGATAGTGGAAAGGAAACAGGGAGGTAAAGGAAAAGAAAGAACCTGAAAGAGAAGAACAGTAGGAACCAGGCGTTAATAAGGGAGGTATGGATTAAAATTAGGTAAGTTTAAGGGAGGGGGGAGGGAAGGATATACAAGGAACCTAGGGGATAAAGGGAAAGAAGGAGTTCAAGAGGGATAGGATCGTAGGAGAAGGGTATTATTAAGGGAGAAAGGGGGAAAATGGGGGCACTTTAATTGGGGAAACCATGAAGGAGGGGTGAGACAATGCAAGAGATAAATAATGCCTAGCTAGTTTTAAAAACCAGAGGGAACCATATTAAAACTACAACCTAATGACAAATTATACACAGCATATCAAGAAATATATGTCTAGGTAAGGTTTATCTGAGAACAACTGGTCTTTGCCCAAGATTTATCTACATGGCACACAGTAATTAAAAGTACCAGACTGGTGGAACTAACCTTCTTGGATGTTTAACAGACATACTTTGAGGCCTATAATAATTTTATCAGAAGGACATAAAAGACAGTTTTGCTCCTTGCCCTCCTAGGCCGACTAGTTCCAGAGGACTATGAGCATCTCTCAAAATGTCCTGTAACTGTGGTGGGTCACCTGTCCTCTTGATCAAGGAGGCCGAGGAGACCCCATCAGATGGACATGAACCAGTGTCCAGTCTACAAAGAGGAGGGTCAACACAGAGGAATCATTTCCTCCATGCTTCCAAGTGAAGCCAACCATGGTTGAGCAGGACCTTTGACTTATCTTCACATAGGTGGAACTGGTAAAAGAAAGGAGCCAGGGGCTCCTCCCAAGCCCATGTGACCCCTGAGGAACAGATCCTCAAATGACCTTAAGAGTAAAAATAAATTGGTTTATCTGGGCCAACTGTATGGCCTTAAACATCCAAAAGGAAAGTATAACCAAAGATTAAAGGGGTCAATATAATTTTTTAAGAGTCCATATGTATAGCCAAAGGCTATATAACAAGGAACAATACCAGATAGGAGATACCTTCTTTTTGAGTTGTTGGTCAGGGTGGCCAAAGGGACTCCCAGATAGTAACCCAGCATAGAACTAGGAAAACAAACAGGAGACCCAAATCTTATCTAAAGGAATATTGACAACTGATTGCTGCTAGATGAGGAACAGCTGACCTGCCTAGAACAAAGACCTCTAGATAGGATGACTAGATTGACCAGATGGACAAGTAGTGGGGAATGGCTGGGGGTGCCAACAACACAGCAGACAGTAGCAGGGCTATCAGAATACAAAGGCTCTAGTGGGGGGAGGGAGGCTAAGGGAGGGTGCCATCTGGGAAGTGGAGGTCTAGTTGAATAAGATGGTTTGGGATGTTCTGTGTGATATACACACACAAAAAAATCAACAAATTTTTTTTAATGTATTATATTTTAGGAGGAAGCATGGAAATTTACATCATGTTAATTAGTAGAGGTGATAAACATTACCATTGAAATCTACCTGATGACTTTATCAACACACACAAGTAGACAGTAACCCAGCATAGAACTAGGAAAATGAACAGCAGACCCCAATCTTATCTAAAAGAATATTGACAACTGGTTGCTGCTAGATGAGGAACACCTGATGTTCCTAAAACAAGGCTTTCTAGATAGGCTGACTAGATTCAGCAGATGGACAAGCACTGGAGAATGGCTGGGGTGTCGAGGACATAGTGGACAGTATCAGAGATGACAGAGTATATGGGCTCAATATGTGGGACGGGAGAGGCTATGGGAGGGTGCCATTTGGGAAGTGAGTATATAGATGAATAAGATGTTCCGTATGAGATACACACACACACACAAAAAATCAACAAATTTAAAAAAGACATGTTTGAAGAGGAAGCATAAAAATTTACTTCATGTTAAATAGTAGAGGTGACAAACATTACCAGTGAAATCTACCTGATGACTTTATATCCATACTCAGGTACTAAGGAGCCAAGTGTAACTGACTGTGTCTAGTAATAATCAGATACATAGAGATTAAAGACACATATGCAAGCATGTAAGTGTTAGTAGCATGTCTCAAAGGAAGAAATAAAGATGGCTAAGAAACATCTCCAAAAGTGTTCAGCAGTAAAGAAAGATGAAATAATGAAATTTACAGGTAAATGGATGGATATAGAAACTGTTATACTAAGTGAAGTATCACAGGATCAGAAAAACAAATGACATATGTTCTCCCTCATATGTGGCTCTTAGCACCAAATCCTTTTAGATTCCAGGTACTTTTAGTAAGATGATGCTATACAGCAGTCCCCTCTGCATGAAATACCTACCATCATCACAGCTTCGGCTGAGCCTGATCTCTAAACATTGTCACAACTGGGCTTGTTGACAGTTGTGCTCATTCATTAAAGAAGTGCCAAGCAGGGTCACTGGACCCTCACCATAGTATCCAGCCACTCTTCCTAGCCAACTGTATGTAATTTGACCCTAATCACACATGGCCTCCTAGATTTGGGGAGGGCTAAAGAGAAGCCATGACCCATGCTGGGTAAAGGCTATCCAGTGTGCATACCCTCAGGTCATACATACACCTCAGCAACCCCTCAATTACCTCAAAGTCTTTGAGAGGGAACTGACACTGATTCTAACCACTCCAACAGCTATCAAAATACTTGAAATCAAATCCTGAATCCATCACTCTAGAGTCCAGCCTTGGAAGACAAAAGAAAAATGAGGAAGAACCCAAAGAGGGATGCTTTTGGAAGCCCTTGTCAAGAAATTCAAATGGACTTTCATATGAACATTTGAAAACTGCCCTGTTCTGACTTTTTTCAAGTTCCTTATCTAGAACTTGTAATGCTAATTACTCTTGCCTTTACTTCTCCTCCACATCTCTTATTCAAGATTC